CAGGAAAATAGATCAAAATGCACAAGATAATATCTATTTAATAATTACGGTAATATAAAACTTAAGCAATCTTTTCCATAGTTCGAATGAGGTGTACGCACTACCCAATTGTCTCTTTGTCTTGTTGAGTAACTAGTTATGTTCTTTATTTGAAGATGAGCCAAATCACGTAGGTTAGTAATATTGTTTCGTGTTTCTAATTTATACCTCGAACTTAATCGATATCTATACAAGTTGAACGCTCTAATCACATGGGAGCGGTAGAACAAGATAGCACATGGCGCTCCATAAGGCTCATTCTAAATATGCCGAAGGCAGTTTTTATTGTAATATATGAACAAGTTGTAGGTTTGAAAATGTTGTTGGTCCCCATACAAATTGAGAGTAGATTAGATTGACAACTTAATTTTCGTGGAAAGAAGCTACCTAATACGACCTACAATGCCTGTGATCTGAGTTATTTTACTTACTATATGGTTTATGTGGCTATCCCACGACATATGGGAAGAAAATACGTCACCAAGAGACTTAAAATGTTCGACAATATCTATAGGACGTGCATTTAGGATGTTATTTTTATGTGGTGGAACTGGCTTGTTTTTAGAGCGCAGCTCTTAGGGGCCCGTTTCCGGCTTGAGCGGTGTCGGCGTCGGCATAACCGTTAGGTCACGTGACCCCCTGAGGTCACGTGATCCCCCCTAAGGTCACGTGACCCCCTCAGGTCCCGTGACTTCACGTGAACCCCCTGAGGCCACGTGACCCCCTCTAAGGTCACGTGACCCCCCCAAGTCACGTGACCCCCTGAGGTCACGTGACCCCCTGACGTCACACGACCCCCTGAGGTCAGGTGATCTCAAGGAGTCACCTATCCCTCAGTACGCTTCCATCCTCCTCCTCAAGAGCTGCCCTCTAACCGGCGTTACAGGGAATTGTAAACGGCTTTCATATTCTTTTGTCTGAATATGACTGCTTTAGTTTTTACTTTATTTATTCGCATGGAATTAGAAACTGACCACTCTTCTATTGCCCTCATCGTAAAATTACATTTGTCTACCAGTTTGTGGATGTCATTACCAGAAAAAAAAAACAGACTTGTGTCATCCGCGTATATAATAAATTTGGCAATAGGGTCGATGTTCACAATGTCAGTAGGATACATGTTAAAGAGTAGTGGCCCCACTATACTACCCTGAGGAACGCCACGAAGGACGTGTTGAACTTTGGAGCACATATTATTTATTTGAACGACCTGCTTTTGATGAGATAAGTACGACTTGAAAAGCAACCACAGCTGTCCACGAATACCGTAGCATGCAAGCTTTTTTAACAATGTATTTTGATTTACCAAACCGAAAGCTTTTGAATAATCCACAAATGTACCAACAACAATTGCTTTGCTTTCAAACTGTGTATGTATTTTTTTATTTGTTCAAGTAGTGCTATTTCAGTGGATTTGTTTTACGGAAGGCAAATTGGTATGTCGTTCACAAGTTACATCTATCGATAAAGTTTGAAAGTCTTGAATGTAAATTTTTTCAAATACTTTTGAAAAAAACTGGCAGAATAGAAACTGGCCTATATTTAGCCAGATTATTTCTCTCTTCCTTTTTATAAAGAACAGTTACTCATGCAACTTGCATCCTTTCTGGAAAAGCAGCAGCCACTATACTTTGATTAAATATCTTAGCAAGAATCGGTGCAAGGATATGAACTACGTGCTTCACGGGCTTATTTGTAAGCCGTCGATATCGCAGCTATTACGGCTTTTTTATATTTTTGATTACTGTTATCGCCTCTTCCTCGGCAACAGGATGCAAAAACATAGATCTGTCATTTTGTACATTTACATAATCGCAACATGTGCCAGGCGAGGCACCGCCGACAGCCATGCTTGTAAAGAAATCATAAAATGCGTCAGCTAATTCTCCTCCGGATAATTCTTTTCCACTGACTTGCAGTTTTGAAAGAGGGGCATGTGAGGGACCGCGACGGGCAGTACTGTATTTAATCTATACCACAGCACGTCACGCCTACAGTTCTTATCATTTATAAATGAGGAGTGATATTCCGTTTGCGCACATCGTAGTTCCGTTGTTATTTTGCTTCGATACTGCTTGAAAATGGTGAAACCATTGGGTGTGCGAGTATTTAAGGATGTCTTATACAAGTTATCTCTTATTTTCATTTCCTTCAGTAATTTTTCCAGTAAGCCTACGCAATTTACAGGGAAATGAGTACAATATAAATGTTTAAAATTGCTCAAAAAGGTATTATAAATATAATTTGGCTCTTTTAAATTGCTTATATAGCTTCAATTTGTATGCAAGATTGCATCCCGGAACGCAGTAAGTGCTCTCTCTGTAATTGATTAGTAAAGTATTTTGGATTATTTGTTTACTGCTGGCCCATTTATTTAAGCGTAAAAAAACACAAACAGATGGTCACTAATGCAACACGGTATAGCTCCCGCTCCAGAATTTGATCGCACACAGTTCCTAATAGGAGCAAGAAAGGTTCAAGCTGCAGATATATTCCGCTTCAATCATTTTTATTGTCACTAGCGTCGTCCTCAACACTTAAATGTCTGTTTTCATTGGTGCCGACTGCATCGCTATATTGAAAACATATGTTCAAGGTGAAGTAGATGGCGTTAGCGGTGCTGAAAAAAGGGTTCAATTAGCATCGAATGAGGTTCGTAGCGGTGAACTATTCTGCAAGTCAGCCCAGGTAAAAAAGTATCTAATGTGACCCAGATAAAAAAATGAAAGCCGTTTACAACTCCCTGTAACGCCGAATTAGAGGGCCTCTTTTGGGGGGGAGGAGGGAAGGGTACTAAGGGTCACGTGTTCTCGGGGGGGGGGGGGGGGGGGGGACGTGACCTGGGGGTGTCACGTGACCTCGGGGGGGGAGGGGTCCCCAGAGAAAATTTTTCCGACAGATTTAGCGGGGAAATTTTTCCGCTAAGTCTAAAGGGGAAATTTTTCCGCTAGGTTTAGCGGGGACATTATTTCGCTAGACATAGCGGGGAAATTTTTCCGCTAGATTTAGCGGGGAAATTTTTCCGCTAGGTCTAGAGGGGAAAGTTTTCCGCTAGGTTTAGCGGGGAAATTATTCCGCTATATTTTGTGGGGAAATTATTCCGCTAGATTTAGCGGGGAAATTTTTCCATTAGATTTAGCGGGGAAATTATTCCGCTACATTTAGCGGGGAAAGTTTTCCGCTAGTTTTCGCGGGGAAATTATTCCGCTAGAATGTGTTGAAATATTTCCGCTAGATTTAGCGGGAAAATTTTTCTGCTAGATTCAGCGGGGAAATTATTCCGCTAAATTTAGCGGGGAAATTTTTTCGCTAAATTTGGCGTGGAATTTTACCCATAATGCACCGCGCGGTTACGCCAACGGCGACGCCGACGCCGCTCAAGCCGGAAACGGGCGCCTAAGAGCTGCGCTCTAAAAAATATACACCCCGTATATTTTTTAGGCCCAGTAAAACATTTTCGAGGTGACCCAAATAAAAGTTCTCCAAGGTGACTCCGATAAAACATTTTTTCAAGCGGACCCAGATATATTCGTTACAAATTTATCCACCACAAATTTGCAAAAAAGTGATGGATAAATAGCGGATACATCCACTACCGGGTTTTTAGCGATAGGAGGGGGCCGAGAACCGGTCAAGCTACATTTGTGCAGCTTTGTCCTCGGTCTCCTTCGATCAAGAATGTAATGTGATGGAAAACAAATTCTATTTATTAGTATTACAATTATTATTATTATTATTATTATTATTATTATTATTATTATTATTATTATTATTATTTATTGTTATCATTCTCCCAGGCGTCGGCGGTTTCGGGTGCAGCCATCACAGCTTTCTCCCGCTCCCGCATCGTGTCATTGGAAACGTGACAAAAGACTAAACTTCAAAGTTTGCTAATGCTCTGTATATTCCGTTCATGTTATACAAACAAACACTGTTCAATATCACGAATTTAAAATGTTATTAGTGCCGGATATGCGCTCACAAAGAAATCACGTGACCTCCGTGAGCAGGTGACGTGGTGGGCCGCCGGGGCCTTTTTTTTTTTTTTTTTCAACGAAAAAGTCAGCGAGGAATCCGACCGCCATGATTGGCCGGCGCCAAGGTCGAGCGTAGCGCCGGCCAATCGCGGCCGTCGAATCCCTTGCCAAGTTTTTCGCCAAGTGCCCCGCATACTAACATACTGCGAGAGGGGGCGCAGTATGTTGGTATGTTCGAGAAGCCCGAAGCGGCGGCGGCAAGGGAGGTGAGGGGGGTGGGGCGAGAAAGGGGGTGCAATATCCTAATAGTAGGCCTTGTTGTAGATGACGGGGTTGAGGGACGGCAACACTGTCGTCTTCCAAACCTTTCAAACGCCAACGAACAAACAGGGCAAAGCGAGGGGCGAAGTGGTGAAGGCGATCACTATCACACACTCCCCGTTGTGGCTTAGCTTTTGCTTACAGATCATGCCGCATTTTGTTCGGACGGGGCACTGCCGCAAGGGGACTTTAAATGCTTAATGCTGCCTCTTAATCCCTGAAGCCCCACAATAGCTAAAAACAATGGCGAGAGATGGCGCTAGTATGCAAGAAGTGGTGGCACAGTGTGATTACCGCTGGAGGCTTCTTATTAGGGAGTTTTCGTAGACCGCGTTGGCCCCTCCGCTAAGCCCTCCGCAACGTATAAGTTTCTACTGCGCCTGCGCGCCGATGGCCTTGACTGTATAGTTCCGGGTATCCTAGCGGGTTGCGGAGGGCCATTGCGGCTCGGCGAAAACGATCTACGAAAACTCTCCATTGGCTTCGGGCACAAATGCTAAATCCCGGTACGCGTGGAAGCGACGACGAAAAACGCTAAAGTCGCTAATCGACTTTTGAGGAAGCTCGAAGTTGTGAGAAAGGCCATATCACTGGCAAAGGGTCATTGATCAAAATAAGACGGTTAACACTGCCCTTGGGACCCCAATGACGGTATGTATTTACCTTTTTTGTCGGTGAGGGTGAAAGTAAATGTTACGCTGACCGTTGATTCCACCTTGATATCTAATGATGCTTTTGTCCAGGTATAATCTTTCGCTGGATCGGAGGCATCTATGTACTTCAAGAAGAGGGTGTTGGGCACTTCTGCAACCCCTGTCCTTAGAAACTCCATCGTTACGCAGTAGGCGTTTATCCCAAGCAGAGAGGGTGTTGTGTCACTAGTGGTGTCTTGCCCGTAAAACTTTTGTCCGCTGAAGTGCACCAACATCTGAAAACGGAGCGAGAGGAGGCGGTGACAGAGGGTTCGCCACTTTCAGATATGAATGCGATCGGACGTTTTGGCTGCGGACTGTTATAAGAGTTGTACACGCAGTGAAGAGCCTAGCTCCGGTTTTCACTTCAGCGAACATTGAAATTCATCTCGTGACCCAATCTATATATCACAAGTTGAAAATAAAAACACGGGCTAAGTGGCCTAAACCACCACCCGACCCATCCATTTGTATACGGATTCATCGATCCATCCATTCATCCATCTGCCGTGGCCTGGCCACTGTACTCCATTCAGATGAATAAGTTCTGGCCTGTTTTACCTACAGTGTTTCTGCACATGGCATCTTGTTTATTCACCATCGAAGGCAATGAAACGGTGGTTCTGACAGTAAGAAGGTGGTTTCGCACAGGGCCCAGCTGATGGGGGCATGCGCACTTAATTATGAACAGGGCTTTATGTTTTTGGCATTCTTTTTTTTATGGATTCGGTGTTTCTCGGTATCAAAGTTTTGTGTCGGAAAAGAAATCGCGGCTTAGGTTGAAGAAAATAGAACACGTGTCTGGGATTCCCCAACCTTCAGGTAGAATATCGCGTTAGCCATATAGATAAAAAAACGCCTAACACCGATAACAAAAACGAAAAGGAAACGAAAGAATAGATGAGGTTCCGATGAAAGAACCAGCCTCACATACAGTTCAGTGGAGAACTCTGTTCCACTTCCGTGTCAACACGAAGTAAAGCTCTAGATAGCTCTGAGAGCTCGAATTCGGGAATTTATTTTCGCCTGATTTTGATAAAACTGTGTCGGGGTTTATTGATAGTGACGGAAAACACGGAACCTTACTTATTTATGAGCCGTGGGTAGACACTGAAAAAAAAGGAACGTAGTCTCAAACCCTTTTGTCCTATATAATACACCCCAAAACTTAAGTTCGACGTAAAGCGCACTGACGGCCCCACGTCTTGCGAGGGACTTAATAACGATACGATATAACTCATTAAATAGGTAAAGGTAGTATAAAATACTACAAAAAAACAAAAAGCTTTGAGATTTTGCAGTAAAAGGAAACACGATTTTTTTAAATATTTTTAGTGAGTAACACGTACATTCTTCATGTTGAACCACTCGGCTATCAAGCCGCTCGTGAAAGTTGGCACGTCTGTGCACCGTACGTCGAACTGAAGTTTCGGGATGTATTATATGAGAGAAGGGGTGCAATAGCATATCTTTTTTTCTTTTCTTTTTTTCTGAGAGTGCTTGTGTACAATGCGAGGGTGGCATTTCCTTTAAGAAAAGAACAACCTTGTTTTGCTTGTCATGGATGTTCTCCTGTATCTGACGGCACGAGTTGCAGAGTCGGACATTAGCGGATGACTGCCAATACTGAAAAGTACTGTCGTTATTATTAGACCAGAGATAACTAAATCGTGTCGTTTATGCGAAGAATTGTAGAGATATATTTGGAAAATTTAGTATTTCCACGACAAGACCCGCGGCTTTAGTTTTCACAATGTCACGAAGAGTGCGATTGAGACTTCCCCTAATCATGCGGGCGGACACTCGATATTTCTAATCGTACCTGCGGGCAGCCGCAGCTACGATATAGTATATCGTCACCATGGCAGGGTGAAAACGATAGAGCGCCTTTTTAGGATACCCGGCAACTTCCAGTGCTCTCTCCCGGCCTTTCGTCGTGCTTTAGCTGCGCATGCGCGCTCTGCGTTCGCCAAGAAACCGAAGTATCCTCAAAGGTACGAAGCCCGCGCTAGAGGCCAGACAACTGGAAGACCGCCCTGCCGTTTTTAATAAGTTAGTGTGCAGACAATTTTTATTAAAACACGAAATAACCCTAAAAGTTGTATAGTCTAACGTGAAACCACGGTGCCTGTGCCGGTTTGCTGATCAGAGCTCGCGTATCTTTCCCGGTGGTCAACTCACCCGCAAGAGGGATTTTGGGTTCACGTGACTGGCTCTGTTGAGAGAAAGTACGCAGCGTCCCAGCCGATTCCGCTCAGCAGAAGTAAGCCTTAACTAATATTTTTTTTTTTTTTTTATTCTCGATTAACCCGACCTTCTCCAGAAATACCTTTACCTGCCGCTCCTAAAATACACGAATGCTGCTCATTTCACTTACACTTATAGCCTCTTCACCCTTCTTCTGCGCGTACAATCTGACTTTAATATTCGAAGCGAGGACGGACCTGCTGCAGCCATTTGGCTGGAACGCTAGGTGTTTAGTTACTTGTCCCCATGAAGCCCGTCACGTGACCTCAATATTCCTCTCGCGGGTGACTTAACCGCTGGAAGACATAAGTACGATTCAAACACTCCCGGCAGGTCCGATCAAGTGCAACTTTAACGGCTTGCGACGTACGGGTTGCTATGGCGGCACTTACGACGAGCCAATGGAGAGGCGCGGTGCTGCACGACTTAATGCAGCGAAAAGCGGTTGACGCTAATATATTAATCAGCCTATGCGGAGGGCAAATGCGTCTGCTTCTTATGCAGGGGTTGTAGTGACGTCAGAACGCCGAGCTCTGGTTGGCTCTGATTGAAGGATAGTGGGTAGACCTCAAGGAAGCTTGCTTTGAGGTCTACCCTCTATCCTTCAGTCAGAGCCAACCAGAGCTCGGTATCTTTCTGACGTCACCGCAACTCCTGCATAAGAAGCAGACGACTTGCTCTCCGCATACCCGCATTGATCAGCAAGTCGGCCGCGTCCGAGTTTGGTCTTGATGAGAGTGAGAGCCTTCTCGACTGCTGATTGGACGTGGCGCCGCAGCCGTCGCATAATCAACCGATGAGACATTCTTGACCCGTTCGTGAGTTCACAATCGGGCAATATTTTGATGAGAACGTCTCACGAACGTACAAATAGCGAGAGAGGCATCGCGGCCTCTGACGTGCTTGTCTTGAGTACTTATTCATCAACAGGTTATTGTGAGCTTGTGTATACGGCAGCAAAACAACGATATTTGCAAACGAGGGGCGGGTGGCGGCCAACGTCAAATAACAGACTATAACAATTTCAACGCGCGATCGGATCACACTTAGGCGAAGCGCTCAGCTCCTACCAGACGATAAAGTTTCCTTCCGGTTTTATATAAGTCGACCTTTGGTGTTTTCATATTTTATTTCCGCCTGCGAATGACGCTTCATAGCAGAGCGAACACGCTCTTCACTCGCGGTAGCAGAAGAGCCGTTAGCTTCACTCGCGTTAGCAGAAGAACAACCGAGAGGGAGGTGGACGCGTCTTCTTTCTAAGCTGTTTACCTCCGTATGGAGATTGACATTGCCTCAAGCTTGAGTTCTACGAGCGACAACAATATGACAACCGCGTATTTTGCCGCTTCTCGTCACCCACATCAAACAGACCTCACTAAGCTCAAACGCCAACCGGCCCGACTTCTCGGGAGAGGAGAAAGACACATCCCCGTCCTCTGACAAAAACTAACGGACGACACGGACTTTAGTTGACCAATAAAGTTTTCTCTTCCCAGGCACGTAGCCAGGAATTTGTTTCGGGGGGGGGGGGGGGGGCGCTTATGACAAAATTCTGTATGAAGGGAAGGGGGGAGAGGAGGTCCCGGCAAAACGGAAGATTTCGGGGGGGGGGGGGGGGGGGGGAGGGGCCTTATGGGCCTCTCCCCCGGCTACGTGCCTGTCTCTTCCTCTCTCTCTTCGCCTGTGCAAGGCACGAGCACAGATACCTGCACCAGCAAGGGTAAAGGTGTAATACATCCTTTTTCCGGAACGCGCAAATCAGTATAACGTCAACATATATTTTTACAAAGCCTGTGCACAACGAACTGTCTGCCAACGAATCAATGACCGTAGAGTCCAATTTGTTTGAGTATATTTCTGCTAGCATTGGAGCAACCGACGAACCTATACATACGTTATCTTTAGGTGCAAATCTCTGTCCATTACACTCTACAAAACCGTTGCTTACAAATACAAATCTAGAATGAAAATAAAACTGTCTACCGCTACTTCTGATTTTGATTGAAAACTAACCAGATTCAATTCCAAGACATCTCAAACTCGTCGCATTAGTATTGTCTTCTCTATATAATAATATAGGCCTTGTATGTCCATTGAAACAACTGAGCCGTCCTTTCCATGAAAACCCTCAAGGACATTGATGAGATCATTTGAATTCTTCAGAGCGAAACTCCTCTCCAAATGAACCAGATTTAAGACTCTTTGAAGGAACCTCGAAACACTGTTTTGCCACGTGCCATTTTCATTAATGACTTAAAGCAGGAGCATTTCCGGCATGGGTTTAGCAAGCATGATCAACATCCACCAGCTCGCCTGCGCACTTAAGGCTTATTCACACGATGCATCTCTTCAACGCGCCACAGTTTAACGAAACCAAGATTTCGCGAAATCGGCCTGTTCACACGTGGAGCTTGACGCGCCAAACCTGTGACGTATTGACTCACGAGAATTTCGCCAAACCTTGTCATCTGCACCGGGATACCAAGCGTTTCGCATCAAAATGATTTGAAGTACGCACGGCGTGAAGAGACAGTCTGTTTTATTAATACAACTCAATGAGCTTGGTCAGATTTGGCTCACTGGGTTTACTAGTCCTGCCGAACCTGGGAAAGACCGCGAACGTCAACGAACAGGCAGATGATCGCGAAGCATTTCGGACATTTTTGCACCGCTAATAAAGAAAGTTATCCCGTCATCATGTTTATATGCGGTGCTTGCACTCGTCGCGACTGTTGATGAATTTGCACCGCGCCACAAACCCGTACTCTAGGCGCCGTTCACACACCTGCAACCGAGTAGGACCAAGACACGTCTCCCGTAAGCACCGCTTCTCCGCTTGTCGCTCGCCATGTTTGTTTTCTTTCGGCTTTGGCTCAGATACGGAATCGGCCAAAAATCATACTTCTCCAAAAGCTCGCTGCTCCTCCTCAAAGGTCAGACGTCAATGCGAAGTCGAGCGGCCATTGGCAGCGTCCACGTTTCCCCTTCGGGTGATTGACAGGCCTTGGTGAGGTTTCAGCGAAAAATTGCTCGAGAAGCGAGGAACACTCGCCACTTTTTTCAGAGGCGCGCCACTTTTTCGGTCGCGTTGAGACGGGGAATGTGTTTCCCGAAACCTAGTTTCGCGACACAAGATTCGCC